CAACACAGTGTGGCCTCCCCATAGCCACTGTATCCCCAGTGGTTGGAGGCCACTGGCCACCGCCTGGCTGGTCAGAGGGCTGCAGCAAGGCCCGAGAGTGCCCTTTCCTCCACCTGGTGGCAGTCTCACCTCCAGCTTCCTCTCCTCTCCTCCTCTGAGCTGTCTGACCCAACCTTGAGGTGACTGGGGCCAAGTCCAGAACTGGGTTTGAGGGACATCTTCGTGGAGAGCGTGGAAAAGGCCCTGAAGAGGTGCGGGAGGTGAAGGCTGGTGACGGAGCTGCCAGGCAGCTTGCACGCAGCAGCACTCACTGCACAGGAGCCCACAGGCTCCGCCCAGGCAGGTCAGCTCCTCTCCTGGTTCCCCAGGGCTGCTCCTGCCACTCTAGCCTCCTGGCCACTGGGCACCTCTGTATGACCCTGCCTGCTCCTCCCAGACCTGCCATGGCTGGCAGCAGGGCTCAGGACCAGTGCTGTCCAGGAGAACCTAGATGAAGTTCCCAGATGGCCACAACCCCAGTCCACACGGACACAAGTCTCACCACGCCTTCCAAGCTGTGGCCAGACACTGTTGGGTCAGAATGGGCTGCCAGCACCAGCCCTGTGGCCACTCTGCCCTCCATCCTACCACATGCAAAGCAGGCAAGATTCCCACCGGATCTTCCTGCCCCGTATTAGCCAACAGTGAGAAATGTCATTGGTCACTGAAATCCATTATTTCTCTCATCTTTCCCTAGAGATGCAAATATGAGTCAATGAAAAACCTAAAAAGCAATAAAGCTGGGCATGGTGGCTCACGCCTGTAATCCCAGTGGCTCGGGAGGCTGAGGCAGGAGGATCTCAAGTTCAAAGCCAGCCTCAAAGTCGAAGTGCTGAGCAACTCAGTGAGACCCTGTCTCTAAATAAAATACAAAATAGGGCTGAGGATGTAGCTCAGTGATTGAGTGCCCCGAGTTCAATCCCCAGTTTACCCCCCACCCCCAAAAAAGAGGTCTAATATCTAGAGTATATAAAGAACTAAAAAAAAAAAAGCAACAAGTAGAATAAACTGCTTCAAATATCCTTGGTAGAGTACTCACTAAAAACCACCCACAGAACTGAGCGGACCACTCAGTCTCAAACCCTCCTGTTGTCATTCTGTCCTGGACAGGACCAGGCCGCGCTGCCAGACTGACTTGGAACTCCTAGGCTTAGGCAATCTCCCACCTCAACATCCCATTAGCAGGGACCTGGGGCTGTGGTGGACACTGGCACCCCACCTTTGACTTGGGAATAGGAGTGGCGGACTCGCGCCTTTGTAAAAGTCAAAGGAAAAAGACGACCGAGAAGGCTGGGGCTGGCTCAGCGGCAGAGTACTCCCAGCTTGAGCAAGACACTGGGTCCATCCTCAGCACCACACAGAAATAAAACAAATAAAGGCCTTGTGTACATCTTCAAAAAAAAAAAAAAGACACACAGAAAGGACTCACAACAGCACATTATTTATTGCACCAAGATCTTGGCAACATCTGGGGCTCCCCAGGCCACTGGAGAGGAAGTACAGAGGGCAGGGACGCCTGTACACACATGGGTGTGGCCACACAGCCAGGACACAGTGGGAAGTGGCTCCTCACGATAGGTGAATGGGGCAGTGAGGAACACTGGTGAGGGCCCGCTGCACAGGGGCCGTCACCTGCACTCCCAAGCACAAAGGCAAGCTCTGTGCCGAGAGGCCACCATGGCAAGAACTGAGGTCACTAACATGTGCTTACACACTACGGGCACCCAGAACGGGGGGTAGGGGGTGGTGGTGGTTGTTTCTGGGCCTCATTCTTCCTGGTCCCTGTTTGGCTGATGGTTTTCTGGGAAGGGAGGGGCTGGCTTCTGCCGGACAGCGATGAGCACCGTCAAAAGTCAGGTCAGGCACTCCTCCACCTGGGAGAGGGAGGCAGCCCCTCCAGGACAAGGGTTTGCAGCGTGCAATCCAGCGGAGAAGGAAGAGACCCACTTGGAAGAGGGGAGAGCGAGAGGGGAGGTCAATTCTGTGCTAGAAGACAACTAAATTTAACTACAAGGCATTACGAAACGAAACGGCTGGGGACGCAGTTCATACAGGAAAGAACGTCAGCGCCTCAAGAGGAAAAGCAAGCCCTGGCCTCCCCAGACAACAGGTCACGAAGCCATGGCCCACTTCCTGCTGGGATGGGGAGCAGCCAACAGATCAGCCCTGGTGCCACTCTTCCCTCCACCTTCTTTTAAAAGGAAATACGAAAAACAGGAAAAGAAAACAAAAAGAATCTCCTCCCCATAAAGAAAAAGTAAGTCTTCTTTCTACACCAGGATAAAGTGAGGCCCCAAGTGTGGCAGCAGAGCAAAATAAGGGTGGCACAGGCCAAGGGCAGAGGTGGGCCCTCCTGGGGAGGGCCAGCGCCTGGCACTGTGAGCAGCGCCTGGAAGGGCCATCCTCCTCAGAGAGCACCTCCGCGAGGAGACCCAGGCCCGTCCAACCACACGTCTGCAGACAGGGCTTGCACAGGGGAGGGGCGTGAACAGTACAATCAGCCAGACTCCACGGCGCTCCCAAGACTGAGTACACGAAGCCAGGGTTTGCGTATCAGGGAAACATACTGTACAGGAAGCCACAGGCCTGCTCGGATATCAGCTAACGGAGACCTCATCCCCAAGATCACCACTTCTGCAGAGACCCACGGGTCACTGCAGCTGAAGGGAAGCTACAGCCAAACCATCAGGAGAGGCAGCAGCCTCGGAAGCAGATGCGTTGGAATTACTTTCAAGGGTTCCCATCCCAGCCTCTGCTCTCCACAGAGCTTGGAGTTCCTGTGAGGAGGAGATACTCCGGAAGGGCCAACCCCAGGCAGGAAAGGGAAAGGCAGCGATGTGGTCAGTGCAGGACCTTCCTCTCTGAGGCAGACAGTAAGGCATACAGTCACAGGGCACAGCACGAGACAGCGCCACCTGCAGGGAACAAGGGGTGCTCGCCAGGAAGAGCCAAGGCACCCTGCCACCCTGAGCACAGGACAACTGGGGAAGAGCCCCTGGGGCAGACAGCTCTGCCCACCCAGACCCCACTGTCCATGACCACAAGGTCACTTGGCCTTTCTGGAGGCCCCATAGCGAGCTGCCGGTCTGCGTGACACCACATGCCAGGGCTTCGCGTGAGGGGCCTTTCGTGAATGTCTCCACAGGTTCTGAGCCGTAGAAGCCCAGGCCTCACGGGTCCCCTAAGACGGTGGGGACAGGAGTCCCCTGCCGTGGCAGGCTCACAGTGCAGCAGCCTAGAGGTGACAGGGAGGTGGAGTCTGCTTGAGGCCACTCTTCAGATCCAGACAGAGTTCCCAGGAAGTGACGGCCCTAGAGGGTACGGGACAGGCACATGTCCTGGTGAGGAGAGAGACCTGATACTCCCAGAACACCCTCGAGTGAGTCCCCGCAGGATAGGGGTACAGCCCTCTCGAGGGAGCTGGAAAATGTCACAGGGTCCTCTCCTACAAGGGACAGGCGCATGCACACCAGACAGACACACAGACACACCATACACGCCACAGCAGACCCACAGACACCACGCCCAGAACACGCACACACAGACACACACGGGAGACACCACCCCTACAACGGACCTCAACAGCATGAGCTCAGCGGCGGTGGCTGAGGCTGGTGGCCTTGGCTGGATGAGTCACAGACCAAAAGTTCCGTCTACTCTGAAGCTTCTGGAAAGCATTGAAGTTTCTCTTCTTCTCTCTCTTGAGTTTTTTCATTTTCTTCTCCTACATCAAGAATCAGGCGTTACAATTCTCAGGAGGGCTGCCCTGAGCCCAGTCTCCTACGCGCGAGCACCGAGGGCTCCCCGGCACAGGGGTGCCCCCACACAGTGAGTGACACCCTCTGCAGGAGGCCTGCCACCCAGCACTGATGAAGGTACCCAGCAGCGTGGCCAACGCCTGCCCACAGCACCAGACACACCACCTGGAGCTGGCCGAGCCACTTTCTCCGAAGCTTCAAACTGCTATCAGAGTTCAAGACATCCCTGCCCTTGGCCCAAGCTGAGCAACACCATCCTACTGTCAGCCCACAGCCATGTCACGAGTCCTACCTTTCCTCGATCAAACTCCTCATCCCAGTGGTCAAGCACAGTCTGGGTACGGGCCAATCTGCTGTCTTCGATGGCATCCTGACTGATCGCGGACGGCTCCCCACTCCAGCTCAGAACTGCACAACACACCCGCCGTCAGCACATGTGGGCTCCCAGACCCTGTGGGCCACTCTGACCCTGTGCGCCAGGGAAGCCTGTCTACCCCCACATGTTCAAAACGTGTGAGTGCCACCTTTTGGCAGAGACAGACATGAGAGGGAAAAAGGAGGGGCACAGTGACCAGGACGGTCAACATGGGAACAGCATCAGTGAGTCAGTGAGCCCTGAATTCTGCATCACCAATCATAGCGCTCTCTTTTTTCCCCCTTTTTCTTTAGGGACTGAGCCTAGGGGCACTTCACTGTTGAGCTCCACCCCCAGTCCTTTGTAAAATTTTCATTTTGAGACAGGGTTTGGCTACGTTGCCCATGCTGGCCCCACCTTGTGGTCTTCCTGCTTCCCCCTCCTGAGCAGCTGGGATGACAGGTGTGCACCACTGTGCCCACCTGTTTTTGTAAATCCACACCCATGTTTGAGAAACAATGTCTCATGCTTGCTCTCAAAATCTGCCTTACAAATGAGGTTCCGAACCCAGCCTGCATTCAGGGTCAGGAGCTTTTTGCCCTGTCCCTCCCTAGCTGGGACCTTGACACTGCCACCTTACCTAGAGCTGTGTGTGCGGCTGTCATGCCCACAGACCTCTGGAGCTGCTCTAGATTCCTCTAGGAATAGGACCCACGCTTGCCCACCTGCAGAGGACAGTTCCACGTCCTGTCTGGACATACCTTTGCTCCCGTAGGCCTTGTCAGAGGAGTATCTGAGCAACTCCTGGACCACATCGGGTTCTCGCTCTCTGTTCCAAGGTACAAGAGGAGCCTGTCCTGGCCCTACAGATAGGAGATGAGGGGACTGTCACACACCCATCACTGACAGCCACCTGCAGAATTCGTGAGGGGTAAGTGCTCACCCACACTGCAGTGCCCGAGTGCTGGTAAGTACTCTACTCAACAGAGAAGGCTGCTGTCCACGTTAGTTCATGAAAATGATAAGGGCAGAAAATAAGAGAAGCCAGAAAGCACAGCCCTGTAGCCAGCAGGAGGGGACACCATGAGTGGACCCTGCCTTGTGGCCAGAAACAGCCTGCTACAGTTTAGATCTTAGGGTTCCCCAGAGGCTCACGTCTGGAGGCTTGTCCTCAGGAAGGTGCTACTGGGGTGACAGAAGCTGTAATAAGCAGGGCCTAGGGGGAGGTTCTCAGGGCACAGTGGGACCCCAACTCCTTCCACTTGTCTTCCACGTCCCGAGGTGAGAGCCCTGCTCCGCCACATACTCCCAGCACTACATGCTGCAGACCTGGGGCTGGGCCCCCAGAGCTGTGAGCTAAAACACACCCCTTTTCTCCTAATTATCTCAGGCATTTGTGCTAGTGATGTAAAGTTAAAGACTTAACGCATGGGCCAGTGCTCAGCAAAGGCCTCACACAGGACAGGGAAGTACCCCCATCACTGTTGCCACCAGGGCTCCTCGAAGCTGCCTGTGTAGTGCCTAGATGTGGAGCATCTCCCAGAGGCTCATGCACTGAAGGCTTAGTCCCCAAAATGGCACCGTCCAGAGGCTGGGCTTGGGCTGTTGGGAAGTCATGGGGTGTCTGACCTCGTCAGTATTCAATCCATTGACATCAAAGTGGACCCTTGGGAGACGGGGTAAGGGGCTGGCAGGTGGGGTTCGGCGGCAGGAAGTAGGTCACTGGGGGGCACACGCTGGTACTTATCCTTTCCCTGGCCCCTTCCCCTCTCTCTGCTTTCTGGCTTCACAAACGGAGCTGCCTTCCTAAACCACACCCTTCCACCCCAGGCCTAGGACATGGAGCTGCCCACCATGGACAGAGACCTCTGAAACTGTGAGCAGCCTTCATCAGGTATTTTGGTCGCAGTGACAGAAACCTGACTAATGTGCCCAGAGTGCTCACCCAGACGGTCCCCAGGAACCTGGCCATTCATACTCCACACGGGGACTGCAGAGACACTAGGCCTCAGCCTCTTGGGGCCCTCCGGATGATCGTTCTCTTCTTCCTCCCGCGGCGCCTCCCGCTTTCTTTTCCTCCTCCTCTTTTTCCTTGGAGACTCCATCCTGGCTGCAGGCTCTCTAGGGTCAGGGGAGGGGCAGCTGCTGGGAGTCGGAGGCAGCAGTCAGAAGTCGAGACAATGCACAAAGACGGGCACCCCACCACAACAGGACGCCTAGGTGGCACAGCGCTCACTCTGCACTGGCTTAGAGAAGTGGCTGGGTACATGGGGGCTGGGCGCCCACAGCCACACCAGCGTGACGCTAGTGCAGCTGGGACAAGCCCTATTCACTACACATGCAGGCTGCTGTGGCCCCCAGAACACACAACCACCCTGCATCTTGGGACACCCTGCTCATGCAGTGATGGCCATGGCTTAGAAGCACCTGTCCTCTCTGCTGTCAGTCACTCAAGGGACCGAGGTCCACCAACAGCCTCACAGACTACATTTTTAGGATTCCAGAACAGCATATCTTTGTAGATTGCACCCACCTGGGAATGGATTATTTCACTTCTCATTTTTTTTCTGAAAAATTTTTTGGAGCTGTATGCGGAGAGAATGCCTTTATTTTATTTTTATGTGGTGCTGAGGATCAAGCCCAGTGCCTTACACATGCTAGGCAAGCGCTCTGCCGCTGAGCTATAGCCCCAGGCCTGATTTTTTTTCCCCTTTTTTTGGCAGTAGGGATTGAACCCAGGGTGCTTAACCATTAAGCCACATCCCAGCCCTTTTTATTTTTTGAGACAGGGCCTTGCTAAGTTGCCCAGGTTGGCCTTGAACTTAGGATCCTCCTGTCTCAGCCTTTTGAGTTGCTGGATAATGGCATGTGCCACAACACCCGGCGTGCTTCTGATTTCTCGATGGAGAGACCGGGGCGTGGCTCTGACCTGTGCTCACCTGGGCCAAGGTGGGTCCTGGGGTAGCCCGACTCTCCCGAATCCCTCCACTCCTCTCCTCCTCCGCTTCCTGCTACTCAGGTGGTGGGCTTCTAGGACGTCTGCCTGTGGCCGTGTGCCCTCTTCCTCCTGTGGATCAGCTGCAAGCTCTGCCTGGTGCTTCTTCCTGCTCTTGGGGCTCCAGGGCTGCCCCCGAGTCTGACCCTCCTGAGGGGCTACGGCGGCCGTGTCCTCTGGACACTTCCTCTTCTTCCTTTTCCTCTTCCTGCGGGGCGCCACAGCTTCTCCCCTGAGGCACTGGGGCTGAGGTGCCACTGAGCCTAGTTTCTGGGGCTCTCCTGTGAGCAGCTTCTTCTTCTTCCTAGAGGGGCTCTGAGGGGCCTTGCTGGCCTCCAGTGACGGCTGGTGTGAAAGGGACGTGAAGTCCCCATTGACCTGAGGCAGGGCAGTCCAGGAAGAGGAACGGCTCTGTGGCTCTGAAGTCCCTGGGGGCTGGGGGCTACTACTGGTCAGTGATGTAGAGGGAGGGCTAACAGGCGGCTTTGGATGGCTGGATGATCGGGGGATAGGTGACACAGCCCTGTGGGGACAGGGGATGATAAAAAAGGTCATTCTGAAAAACCCACGCAGAGCTCTTCCCCCTGCCCACCTTCATCCCCTTTCCAAAACAGTCCTTTCCTGTAATTCTCAGACACATGAGTCACACGTATGTGAAGACAGGCTGACAATAAAATCAAAATCTCTTTAGATCGGAGTTAATGAGAACTGTACGTCATACTTCCTTGAGAGTAAGAGGTCACAGGTTTGTTTTTTTTAAAACTCTATTGTTTCTGCTTTTTGAGCAACAGTTCAGGAAAGTCCCCTCGGTATGCACGTTTCAGCCCCAGAGCAAGGCAAACCCTGAAGACAGCAGCCTTCTCAGGAGGGCAGGCACGGCCCGCAGCACCACAGTTATTTTCCTCTGACTCTGGGCCAGTAACTCAGGACCACGACTTGTAAAGCCGAGCTGTCCTGCGAGGTGTGCACGGGGCAGGACTGGGCTGTGCCGGGGCCCGCGACCTGCCTCTCGCCAGCCCTGCAGGGCCAAGCTCCAGAGCCATAGCGCTCATCTGGCCAGAGCAGCAAGGCTGCCAACCTCAAAGGGTAACGGCATCAGTAGGACTATCGTCATTGTCACCGTCACCTCAACCAGGGCAGACCACAGCACCATAGCAGCTATACCCCTGGACCCCAAGGCTGGGCCACCCCAGGTGTTCTCTGGAGGTTTTTTTTTTTTTTTTTTTTGGTGAGGTGGAGTGAGTAATCAGGGATTGAACTCAGGGGCACTCCACCACCGAGCCACACCCCCAGTCCTATTTTGTATTTTATTTAGAGACACGGTCTCACTGAGTTGCTTAGCACCTCACTTTTGCTGTGGCTGGCTTTGAACTCAGCATCCTCTCAAGCAGCTGGGATTACAGGCGTGCACCACCATTCCCGGCTCCCCTGGAGTGTTTTCATAAAGGTTATGTGACAAAGAAACCAAGAGAAAATACCCAACAGATGTCTGGATATTTGCAGACTACCAAGTGCAAAACTACCAGGCCAGGGTCAGGGGTGCACACCCGAGTGGGGACGGTCCCAGGCTGCCTCCAGGGTAAGGCAGGTGGAGTCACGCAGGGAGAGTCCAAGAGGCCATGTCCCTCACCCGTGCCCTCTCTCACGCCTTCCCGGCTGCCCAGGGTTCCAGTCCATCAGCCTCCACTGTCAGGGAGACACTACTCTGCCCTGGCGAGCTCCTGTCAGGGAGCCCACTGGGAGGGGCGGGAGGACTGGGAAGCCTATCCACAGAAGGTCTGAAAAGCCCCAAGGCAGACTCAAGCCTCCCTACTCCAGAAGCCACATCCAGCCAATGGCAGGAGCCCCTGGGGACCCTCTGCGGGTTGAGGAGGCAGGGCACACTGCTGGGAAAACAAGATGCGACCCTGGCTGGCAAAACGGATGGCCCTGAAGGACTCCAGGCCTGAGTTCACGCACAGCCTTTCTCTTCCCAGTGAAGCTCTGTCCTGGGGCTGGCCAGGGGCTTCAGGACAGGGAAGCCCTCGGCACACCCAGCACCACACACGTGTGGCAGACAGACGAAGACTGTGACAAAAACAGCAAGCCAGGACACAGAGACCCTCTGCCATCGACCAAGCGGGGTCTGCTGCTGAATGGAAAGGGAGCAGGCAGGAGGGGACCCCATCCTGGACCCTCATGGCTCCTCACCTGCCATGCACCCTCACCATAGGAGTGAACCAATGGAACCCGACAAATGCCTGGATTGGGGCCCCCGCCCGAGCTCACCTGGTTCTACTGACAGCCCAGGTGGAGGCAACGGCGGGGTGAGCAGCTTCCATGGGGGAGGTGAGGTCGGAGAATGGTGAGGGGGGAGGTGAACGGAGGTCATTGCCGGTCGCCCTCCGCAGGGTGCTGGCCTGCAGTTATTGACATAAATAAAAACTTGGTGGTCTAAAAAAGGTTTCCGTGAGTGAAGAGGGAAAAAAAACCAAAACAAAACAAAAAAAACAACAACAAACAAACAAAAAAAACCAAGAAACAAAAACAGAAAAACAGGGCCCAGAAAGGATAAGGGGACAGGAAGAGAAAACAGGGGAAGGGAGAGGAGGGATGGTAGGAGAAGAACCAGAAGAGTGTTGTTGGTTAGAAACAAAAAGGAAGAAGGAAGGAACTTTAACAAAACCTCAGCACGACACAAGCACGGTGTCGCGCCCCAGCCCTAGAGGCACCCCACCCCACCTGCACAAGGCCCCCAGGCTCACGCTGCCCCAGTGCCCCTGCCACCACACGTGGCCGGGTGAGCCTGGCTCTCGCCCTGGGGCCCACTTGAGCTACTCCACCTGCAGCAGCAATGGAGGCCCACCCTGGGCCCAGCCCCAGGAGGACTGAAGGATGGACTCCCTCACCCCCGCCCCCCAGACGGCCCTTCTGCAACCTGCAAATCACCAGGGACGCCCAAAAGGCACTTGGTACCTCTAGAATGAGGAAGGCCTCCGCCTTCGACATCTCCCACTGCCCCGCTATGGCCAGCTGGCCTGAGACCCCCGTGCCCACCTTCCTGGCAGACAGGGCCAGCCTCTTGGCTGGCGGTGGAGACATGAGGTTCGCAGGCTCAGTGGTGGCGCTGCCCAGGGCGGGGGACTTCAGCTTCACCACTGCAGAATCGGCTTCACTTGGTGGTGCTCTGGAGGGACCGGAGGGACAGTCTGTTTCCTGAGAAGCACAGATGCGGACAGCCGTGCCCCCGCGGTCCTGTGGAGCCTTGGCAGGCTCACTGCTGGCAGAGTGCTCCGGGCTAGAGCTGCTAGAAGCCCCCTTCTCAAGGTCCGTGCTCCCGTCCTCCTCCTTCAGCCCAAGCCCATTGGCAGTGGCGCTGGCCAGGAGCTTCGGTGAGGTAGAGGGGACAGTGTCTCGGCTGGCCCAGGAGCCCTGCCGACGGCTCCCCGATTCACTGGTACCAGGGGAGCCCTGAGGAGTTCGCAGGGACGGGGAGAAGTGCTGTGGGGGAGTTGGCTTCTTCACCTTCTTCCCAGGCTCCTCCAGAAGGGTGGGGGTGTGGGGGGGTGTTTGGGAGAGTCTGGGGGAAGGTGACCCCAAGGGCAGCTTTGCAGGAACACATCCATTCTGTGACTTCAGGGCCGGCACAGAGCCATTCCTGGAAACAGGCACGCCGATCTCCTCGGGGACCTGCAGCTTCCTCACCAGCACAGGGTCTGGTCGCTGAGGGAGAGCAAGGGGAGAGCAGTCAGGGCCCCTGCGGGCGCTGGCCAGGCCCCGCCTCGAGGACAGAGCAGCAGTCAGCAGCAGGCATGAGGTGAAGGCTGGAACGGGCGTGTGGTAAAGTGCTACTGTCCTGACCGGATTTAGTACACATGACCATCTTCACAGCAAAGCAGAATGTTGTCACCAAGTGAGAAAAAGTACAAAGAAAAAAGGTCCCAAAGAGCCAGCACTAACAGCCACTTCTGAGTGGTCTGGTGCACAGGTGTGTCCCCCTTTGTCTCAAGGCCACACCTGAAGCCTCTCCCCAGGTTCTGCTCAGTGACGGCTGCTGCTGTGGTCAGCGTACAGCCTGTGCTGTCTCCTGCTGTGGGGACAGCACACTAGTAGAGGAGTCCTTCCTACATTCACTGCAAGTGGATGAAAATACTCTTAACTCTGTGTTTAATGCTTCATCTGGACCCTTCCCTGCTTGACCCCAAAGCTCCAGAAGGCCTCTGTCCACTCTGCGCTGCGGTGGGCTTGCGCCACTTTACCTTCATACCCACGGCAGGTGCACTGCAGGGAGGTGCCACCATCTGAAGGAGCTTTTCATGGTATAAATGTTAAACTTCTGGGGCTGGGGCTGTAGCTCAGTGGTAGAGTGCTTGCCTAGCATGTGTGAGGCACTGGGTTCAACTCTCAGCACCACATATAAATAAATGAATAAAGGTCCATCAACAACTTAAAAAATGTTAATTTTTCATTGTGTCCATTGAAAAGAAAAATTTTGTGTTGGGAATCGAACCCAGATCATTACAACATATGCATAGCACACACTACGGCTGACTGTGCCCCCAGCTCCTTGTTCTACAATGTTTTCTTTGTTTATTTTTAAGATTTTATGTATTGGGCTGGGGTCATACATAGCTCAGGGGTAGAGCCCTTGCCTAGCATGCATGAGGCACTGGGTTTGGATTCTCAGCATCACATATAATAAATTAAAGAAATGACCATCAACAATTAAAAAAAAAATTTAACAAAAAAAGATTTTATACATTCAGTTTTAGTTCAGCCAATTTATACTTTTTCTAAATTCTCTCTCGATTTTAAGCTTAGAATGTCTTCCTTTTTCTAGAGGTTTAATTAGAATGCACTTTTATTTTCTTTTGAGATTTTTGGCCTAGGTTTTATTTTTTTGTTTTTAGTGCTGGGGATTCAACCCAGGGGTAGGGTACTCCCCAGCCCTTGTTACCCTTGTATTTTTTGATACAGGATCTTGTTAAGTTGCCAAGGCTGACCTTGAGCTTACAATCCTCCTGCCTCAGCCCCCCAAGTACCTGGAATTACAGGCATGGGCTACCACGCCCAGCTGCCCATATTTTATAATAGTCTATGCTTTGCTGTTTTCTAACAGGAATAAGTCTTTCCACTGCACTGCTATTGAAATTTTCTAGAATACTAAAACTCGCACAATCCTATTTAAAGCAAAACAACTTTTATGCAACCAACTGCAGCATATGTGGAAAACTCCGTGTAATGAAAACACCAATGGTTAAGTGCAACAGCTTTGCAGATGTGCCCGCACAGGATCCCGGGTGCCTATAGCCACCCTCAGGTACAACTCCTCTGCCTGCGGCCCTCCTGACCCTGAGAGCTGTTGCCGATTCTGCAGTTAGATCATGCACTTCAATTCCTACATCAATTCCCATGAGCCTCATTTCCACTTCTCTTTTCTTGGATGCTGAGGGAAAGACAGCTGTCCACATGTAACTACTCCACTGCAGACTGGGAAACCACTGCTGCCTGCCTGGTGTGGGCTTAGCTCTGGCCAGAAGGAAGAAGTCACTTGGTGACAGTCGCCAGGGCCACTGACTCTAAACGGAAACGGCTAATCACCTTGCCAGGAAAACTGAGTTCTCAACTGCTTCAACAGAAAACTTCAGGTACCTACAAAGATGGCTTCCAGGGGCTCCCTGACGGCCGGCATCTTGCCACAGGGCTTCACTGTGCTTTCCTTAGGCTGTGCAGACCCAAGTGCTTCCCTATTGCTAAACCACCTGGACAAACTGCAGACACAACGTCCTTTCACCCTCCACGTGTCCAGCTGCTGGTGAAGGAGGATGATCCCTACAGAGCCCCAGGATGGCTATCAGAATCAGGACAGTCGCCTGGCACACACTGTGCACTCAGTGCTGGACTTCAGCTTGGGCTCTCAGTGAGCATGTCTGGACAACAGCAGGCCCAGAGAGCAGGACTGATGCCCCTGGGCATCAGTGAAGAGCTGCTGGCTCAGCCTCTCATGGTCCTCTCTTCCCTCTACCCAACGTCCGTCAGCTGATGGCCGGTTGAGAAAACAAAGCTGACAGATACAAAACCACTACCCGAGACTCTTCCACTCAGCTAAGGTTCCCCCATGAGAAGACTGGACATCTGTGATGCATGAGACAGGAGCTCCAAGAGCCACCCATCACCCCATCATCTTTTTTTGTTGTTGTTCCAAGGATTGAACCTAGAAGCACTTAACCACTTGAGCCACATCCTCAGCCCCTCCTTTTTTTAAAAAACATTTTTTTTAGTTGCAGATGAACACAATGCCTTTATTTTTATTTATTTATTTTTATGTGGTGCTGAGAATCGAACCCAGAGCCTCACCCGCGTTCAGTGAGCTCTCTACCACTGAGCCACAACCTCAGCCCCATCCTCAGCCCTTTCTGAGATAGGGCCTCACTAAGTTGCTGAGGCTGGCTTTGAACTTAGATCCTCTTGCCTCCACCTCCCTAGCCACTGGGATTGCAGGAGTGCACCACTGCTCCCAACCCACCCCATCATCTCAGTACCTTTGCCATTGATGGGGAGGTAGCTACGCCGTTGCCCATGTTCTTCTTGGTATGATCTAGAACCACACTCGGGCGGCTGGGAAGGGTAGAGCCTGCCTGAGAGATGGGGCTCTCGGGACTTTTCTTAGAGCATGGAATTCTGCAGAGGAAGGAAACAAGAAACTTGTACTGAAGTCCAAAGTTACTACAAAATGGATAGCAAGGGAGAATTGGGGTAACTTGAAGTTGAGGTTATGTTTCTTTTTCAGGAAGGGTGAGCAAAGGTAATAAATAAATAAATAAATAAATCCCCCAAACCCCCGAGGGAACCTAACAGGTCTCTTGAACTCACTCTGCCCTTAACCAACAAGAGGCCAGACAGAGCCTCAGACGCGGCTATGTGCGAGGGCCAGGGCCAAGTCTGGGCAAAAGTCTTCCAAATTAGAGGCTCAAGCGCCATAAGGCAAAAGACCCCTCATATGTGCATCCAAACCTCAGCAGGGTGGACAGAGCAGCAAAAACACCTCAGTCACCACACCCTTCAATCTCTAGGTCAGGGAGCAGGCCAGGAACAGGTCCCACCACCAGTGGCCTTCCATGCCCACAGGATTGCGTCCTCACAGGGAGGTGCGCTGCCCAGCTGCCACAGGGCAACAAATCATTTGGGGCATCATTACAAGACAACAGATAACTGTACAGGGAGCTTCAAGGCAGCATCAACAGAGGGCAGAAAGAATCCCGTCCTGCCTCCCCAGGCTCTGGCTTTACTCCACAACCAGAGGACCTCACTGAGGTCCCTCCTAGGGGACCAGAAGCATGGCACCTGACTCAGGGACAGTAT